ACTATGTGATCAAAACAATTTTTTGTCAACCGTTAATTTGTTCACCGTCCAATTTTTTTAATACGAAACTGATTTGATCATATAGCTATCGATATCCGATCAACGTGATTTTTTACAGGCATATAGTACTCAACGAATTCTACACATTCAGCGGCTCAGATTATCAAAACAAGACCCGTGATGGGTCTCTATGGGGTTTAGACAAGCCATACCCTTTATTTTTTGGTCCTTTTTTTTTTTTTTTGATTTTTTTTCTCCTATATATTTATTCTTGCTTTAGTTAGACCCTCTTAAATGTCTTTCACAGATGGTCATACACATGAAATTTCTTTCTTTTCATACAAGATCAAATACATTGAACGCTTCTTTTTTAGTAAAATTATACAAATAAGGAAAACAGACCCAAAAAGGAAAAACCTCAAATTTCTCTTTAGCTTTTCCAGCAACAAATAAGAAAACCTCATCATTGATGATATGTTTTTAAATTAGTTATGCTTCTTGCTTATTTTAGTTATCGGTTGCAGATGGAATTGATGGCTAAACTAAACCATCCGTATATTGTGGAGTACAAAGATGCTTGGGTGGACAAGGTAAATGGATAGTTTTCCATGTGTGTGTATATATATATATATGTAGGAGACTGAATTTAGCAATTATTACCCATAAGATTAGACAGGGAAAATATTGCTGCTGAAACTGACTCTGTACTAACAGCACATAATGTAATTACATTCTTGTAGGGGTGCTATGTGTGCATTGTGACTTCCTACTGTGAAGGAGGAGATATGTAAGTGATCACCAATAACTTCATTAGACATGTTGGAATATATTCTTTCACATTAAGCACAAATGTGGCATGAAAGAGAGGCAATACATCCGAAGCACCGCTTTTAGTTAAAAATGCATTTTGATGTGTTAGGAGAGAAAAGTGATACCATATTCAGAGATATGCATTCCTTCCCACTTAACTGATATTTCAACCAAACATTTAAAAAGGTAGGTAGATGATTCAACTAAAATTTTGAAGCATATGCATATATATTATCCGTACTCTTCAGTAATGACGGAATAAGGGGATACTAATTTTCCCGGATTATTAGGGCTGAGATTACAAGGAAGGCCAGGGGAGTATTTTTTTCAGAGGAGGTAATCAGAACAGAATTCACATAATTGAAGTTATATTATCACTAGCTGACTTGCACCTCTTCTGAATTGCTCCTATGCTTTGCTTCCCAGAAACTATGCAAATGGTTGACTCAGCTGTTACTGGCCGTGGACTATCTGCACTCCAATCGTGTCCTTCACAGGGATCTGAAGGTATGCATGATATTTACTAATCGTGGTAATGAAGAGAAACTTTTAATAATACCAATTCTAACTCAAACTTGTTCAATTACAGTGTTCCAATATATTCCTTACAAAGGACAATGACATCCGGCTTGGTAAGAAGAAAAACACAGAGGAATTTCTCTGAGAGGAATTTCTCTGTCAGTTTTGGATTGCTTTCTTCTCAGAAATTGTCTTCTTACATTGACTGTACAGGTGACTTTGGACTTGCAAAACTGCTCAGTACAGAAGACCTTACTTCATCGGTAACTTCTTCTCTTAGTCATTAGATGTACTTCATCTCAATTGCTAACATACTTTTGGTAGTATTTTCTAGTTAATGGGTCAGTTCTATCAAGTCTGAGAAATTTCAGAGTGAGCAGAGTCATGCCAAGTTTTTTATTTTTATCTTGTCCTACTCAGTTATGTTACCTGAATGGTAGTTGTTGTTGTCAAGAATACAATTTTTTAATTTTTTTCCCCATTTGTATCACCTTAGCTGAATGGTAGTCATCAAGAATATAATTATTGGGGACTGTTATTTGTATCTTGGATTTGTGGAGGGAAAAGAAAATAGAAGGGAAAAGCGAATTTCTTTATCACTTTTCCATTCTTTTTTCTTTTCCCTTCATGACTTCCTCTACAAATCAAAGATCTAAACACAACCTAAGAATTTGTTGAAATCTTGAAATTACTTGACTAATTCTAATTTTCTTTATTTCATTCCTCTACTTGTTAATTTTTTATTTTTATTTTTTTAATGGTTGCAAAGTCAGTTTTTTCACATCCACTCTTTTTTGAATAAATTCAGCACCATGTATTTTGCAGGTTGTTGGAACTCCGAACTACATGTGCCCTGAGCTCCTTGCAGATATTCCTTATGGCTACAAATCAGATATATGGTCACTTGGTAAGAAACCCACAAGCATGTTTTTTGTTTTTTCACGTTGTCATGTTGAAGATCTTTCATTGATTAACATCTTTCTATCATTCCAGGTTGCTGTATGTTTGAGATTGCTGCACATCAACCGGCATTTAGGGCTCCTGTAAGTTAAAGCTTGATCTATATAGTGTTATCATATGGGTAGATTCAGTAATGCTACAAACACAGAAAATGTGCACCAAAAATGAAATTATTGAAATGTGTGGCTCATACTCATTTTAGGTGTGACCCACACCACACCACACCAGATTTGAGTCTAGACAGACCATACACTTCATTTTCTGTGTCAGTATTAAGTTAGCTGTTGTTTCAAAGTAATACAACTCTGCTATTTACATTAACAGGACATGTCCGGGCTTATCAACAAGATAAATAGATCCTCCATTTCTCCACTGCCAATTGTATATTCATCCACATTGTAAGTGTTTTCTCAAAATTTCCTCTTATTATGCATGGTTCATGATAGATTGTTCTTGTTCAACCAATGGCGGATTTAGCATAAGACCAGGGCCCCCCCTCAAATTTTAAATATTTATACTAGTACTCATTCTATTCTTTTGAAAGACATGATTGTGGATTTGTAAATCACATTAACGTAATTCTCATGATTTATAAGCCACACTTTTTAACTATTTCAAAACACTTTTCAATGATTTCAGAACGCTTTTAACTTTTTTACTTATTTTCAAAGCACTTTTCACCCTAATTCTAGAATTAACAATGCCACAAGGGCACATGTTTGCATTTGCCAAAGAATAAGACAGAAAGGTTTATTTACACAAAGGCCCTTTAAACCATTAAAAAGTATCACTTTGACCCCCTAAACTATAAAAACGTACAAATAGACGTCCTAAACTATTGAGAAGTATCACTTTGCCCCCCTAAACTCTAAAAGCATAAAAATAAGCCCCCTAAATTATAAAAGTATATCAATTAGACCCCCTAACGGAAGGGGTCAAAGTGAAATACGTCAATAGTTTAGGAGGCAAAGTGATGCTTCACATTATTTTCTTTTTTTCTTTTTGGGTTATTTAAACAGAGACCCCCTAAACTATTCAGGGAAATATTACTTTGAACACCCGAGCTACCATTATCTGCGCTTCCTCTTTTTTTGGGGTTTATGGCTCCACCATTGTGTTCAACCCTCAAAACTTTTTTCCAATTACGGCCGCAATATATCCCTGAATCGAGATGGAATGGTTTAAACATTTCAGGAAACAAATTATTAAGAGCATGCTGAGGAAGAGTCCAGAACACAGACCAACTGTAAGTTCTTGTCATGTGGTGCACTAGTTCAATTTGCATTCTGTGATTCATCCTAATTTCATCATGTCTTCAAATTTCAGGCTGCAGAACTCTTAAGGCATTCCCATCTACAACCATACCTCCTCCGTTGCCGTAACCCATCCTCCGTCTTTCTTCCAGTGAAGCCCACAAACGACACAAAAGATAAAACAAGAAGATTGTCATCGTCTAGCAGATCTATTGGTGGCAAAGACAACGGAGAAATGGAGTTAAGAATATTAGAAGAGACGGTGCTAATCACTCCATTTGATGAAGATAGTGATAAGCAACTGAATGAAAATAATGATAAGCAACTGAACGAAAATAGTGATAAGCGACTGAGAAGTTTATCAAACGATGACACGCCAGCACTCATCGCCATGACAGAACACAATCTTGAAACCAAAAAAGTTGATCCGACAAGCTATTCTACAAATATCTCTGTTAGCAGTGAGGATTCCAAAAGTGGGGACACTAGTGAATTAACTGCTTGCAATGAAGGTAAGCAAAGCAGCTTTAACTCTTTATCACAAACAGAAAGCAATGATACCCTGAATACTGGAAGCAGCAACATATCAAATTCTCAGCTTGAAGTCGATGAACACGATAAGACCAGTCAGGCCAGTCCTGAGTGTCTTAAACAATCCAAAGAGGTTGATATTGAAAGAGAGAACACAAAAGAGGACCCTCAGACAAAGGAAAATGGTGCTGTGTTATCGAACCACACAAGAATGTCGAGTGCTGGCTGCAGCGACGAGGGTGGTACAACAGATGATAAAAATTCATTGGCAGCTACACAAACTGCAAGCCATGAACCTGAAGAAAAAGTCCAATGTTTGCACAAAATGGAAAATCCTGATACTCAAAGTGGTCTCCTTGTGGAATGTGTATCATCTGAAAGTAACGATATAATTCCGTACAAAGATGATGTGGTAATAAAGGTGCAGAATATTAGTCACTCGACACAAACAGAGAAAGAAGATGTGCAAGTGATGAATCAGGCACCAAGAGACATTACATCGCTGCGTACGCTAACTGCATTAGGTGGTGGTGATGATAGCAAGAGTGAGTGTGAGAATTCTTCAGCAACGAGCCGATGCTCTAGAGTCTCTGCTCGAGCTGTGTGCACGATTGCTTAAGCAGGACAAACTTGAAGAGCTTGCCGGTGTGCTAAAACCGTTTGGGGAAGAAGCTGTCTCATCCAGAGAAACAGCAATTTGGCTGACCAAAAGCCTCATGAATGCACAGAAATCTGTTGGAGGAAGCTGATGTTCAATAAATTTTGGATGGTCGATTTTCTTTCTTTCATTCATACATTATTGTTGATATGGTGTCTTGTTGGAGTGTGTTGTTGGTACAGAATGTGTTGCTCTGAAAAGGTTGTTTGACTTAAAACTGAAAAGATTTATGACAAAGCTATGCTGGTGGTTCTCTCAGGCCACCCCCAGCTTTGACAATTATTTTGATTGAGATTAACATGAACCAATAAGGAATCGATGTTTGTTCTTGTACTCTGAATCTATGCAACCATTATACATAGCTGAACTCTTGCTTGTTTTTCTTTTTCTTTTTTTCTTCCCTTCATTTACTCAACAAGAAACAAGATTCATGAGAGAGAGATAGTCAAAGTGGCTCCCTACTCAAAAAATAGTTCTCTCTCTAGAATGAGAGGTTCTCCTTAGGATTTTCTCTGGGTTTATCCCAAGTTCTCTAGTTCTATCTCTTTTTCCTTGTCTCCTACTTCCCTTTTCCCATCCATCCCTTGTTCCCTCTAGGTCTCTGTCGCCTACATCCATCTGGACTTTTGGTCCCGTTCAACCTGTTTTCCTTCCTTGGTTTCATTCATGTATGGCGGGCTTTTCTCACTCCAACAATAAACTGGACTCTATCTCCCTCGAGGATGGAGCTGAGTCCATGGCAGCTATAGCCCACAGTTGTTTGGTCAGAAAGTTCATTGCCCCAAAACAGCTCAACAGACAAGAGGTTTTGTCTGTCCTTCTGGGAGCTTGGAAAGCTAGAGCCTCCTCTATTGCTCCTTGGAATGATAATCTATTTTTGTTCAGCTTTGATGATGCTGAAGAGAGGAGGTGGGTCCAGCAAGAGGGTCTATGGTCTATTATGGGAAACCTGATAGTTCTCTAACCCTTGATAATTGGTACCCCAATTGCTGATATGGAATTCATTTGGAGTCGTTTTTGGATTCAGGTTCATGGGTTACCTCCAGACAAACTCACCAAATCAAATGGTGAATGGTGAAACTATAGGAAGGAAAATTGGACGCCTCTTTTGTGTGGAAGCACATTGTGAAGGGCTCCTTCTTTACCAAAACTTCCTTCGTATTAGGGTGGAAATGGACATTACCAAGCAATTGTCTAAAGGGTTTATGCTGCACGGGGTGGGTGTATGTAGAGGAATGCTAAGGCACCATGGGTCACCTTTAAACACGAGAAATTGTCGGATTTTTGTTTCGACTGTGGTAGATTGGGTTATGACCGGAAGAGCAGCAAATTTGTCACTAGAGAAGAGGGTGGTAATTCTGGCTATGGTCCTGAACTTCAAACGGGGATTGCGCAAAGTACTGGCCTCGGTAGAGCACTACAGAAAGCAAGTTGATACTGCAGCATAAAGGATGAGAACTTTGTTGTAGCAATGAAAGGGAAACCTTCCTACAACCCCTCCCATGGTGGCGCATGAGGAAAATGCGCGTGTTGAGGCGGATATACACCAAACGGGTTGTCTTTTGGGTTCGAAAGTTCGTACTGAGAGTACCACAGAGGAAGTGGTGGAGATTGTGAAGGAAAAGAACGTGGTGACTAGGGAGCCTAGCAAGGATAGTATGGATATACATGCTAGCTCTTTACACGAGGATACGCCACCTGGCTTTGGAGTTATCGCTAGCCAGGCAAGTCTATGTCTACTTGAGCCCAATGTGCAGATTTCTACGCCTGGTCTGGTAAGGACCAATTGTCATGACCCAAGCCTGCCCCTAAAAGTTTGGATCATAACCGGCCAGTAATCACTTGATTACCTTTGGCCTCATACAAACATACAGAATAATTATAATAATAGGGCTATAAGTATAAGCATATCGCAAATGAAGAAGTCTATTGAGCTGTGCCAATATGATGAAAATTATACAGCTTAAATCTTAGCACATTCACACATTTACATGTCCATGCAAAAACTTATGTACCAAAGAAAATTCCATACATATAGTTTACATATCCCAAGACCAATATAGAAAAATCAAAACAAAAGTCATAACATGATGTGAAGGCTCGACCAAATAGGTTCACAAAAATAACTCTTGAAGTAGACTCCAAGGTTGGGCTCCATGTTGCTGATCACCTACATATGCATACATAATATAGACTGAGCGTGTAACAACCCTCATTTTGACTTAGTCATACTTACATACATTTGTGGATGATCTTGTGTTAATATGTGCATTTGCAAATCTTGTCTTGTTTTGCTTGAATGATTGCTTGCACGCTTTGTTCTTGTCTGGTGTGTTGCCAAGGTCATCTTAAGCCTAGGCACCTTTGAAAACCTTTATCACTTAGAACTGTCTTGGAACCCCTTTGGTTGACCTCCATCTTCACCCTGGCATATTGGCCGAGATGTCACTGTCTAGGCCGAGGTGCGCATCGCCTAGGCCGAGATGTGCATCATCTGGGTCGAGATGTTAATATCTAGGTGTTCTAGATCCTTGATCCTCGCGCGAGTGATTTTGTTCCTGGAATGGCGTGACCTAGACCGAGGTGTGGCACATCTAGGCCAAGGTGTGGCATAGTTTAGTCAAGTGTTGTCCTTCCAAGCCGATGTCCTTGCCCATTGATTTTCGGAGTCTTGTTGTTAGCCGATGTGGTTACTCACCGGAGTATTCGTGCCGCCTAGCTTGTTGAGTACACTTTGTCTTGGTCTTGTCTTGTCAAGTCAGTCACCTTTTTGAGTTGAGCGAATTGGCCGATGCCACGTGTCCCGACAGAGGGATTAAGTCAGTGTTTGTCGTGTGAGGCATGTCATTTGTATGAATCTTGCCTTTTTAGAGAGAGAAGCTCTAGGAAGAAGAAGGAGAAGTTTGAGCTAGAGAGGGTGACTTCCAAGCTTGATCGTTAGAGCTTGAGCCGTTAGATTCGAGTTTTGAGGTTAGAATCTTAACCTATTCTTGTTGTTCTTATCCATCATCTAGCCGCATTGCACGATCAAACTTGTTTTACACACCATTCATCGATTTAAAGTTGGTTTTAGAAAGAGAAAACGGTTTTCATGTGTTTTTGGGAGAAAAGCCTCGTTTGATCCAAAAGTTTGCTTTAAAGCTCATGTTTTTGTGTTTGTTCTGATAAGATCCTTGAGTATGGGTACTCAGGTCCAAGTTTTTGAATTCATAGCATGAAGTTGCAGCTGTTGTAATAGCAAGTTTGATCTTTGCATTCATCTCCCTCATGTTCATGTTCTTCAAGTTCTTCATGCTCTTGTTCTTCATGTCTATCAAGAGGGAAACCCAGATTTTTTCCGACTACGCTTTCGAATGTGGCCGTCGGGACCACACCACACATCGGCGAGAAGGTGTGGGATCTCGGCCAAGTCCTGGTAGTTGCCCAGCGTGTTTTTTTTTCCAAAGATAAGAAACTGTGTTTCGATTTGATTGACTTAGTTTTTGAAGATTGCCGAGGTCATTTGCATGTATGCTAGACTTGTTTTGAGTAGTGCATTCAATAGACTTTGCCATGCAGGACTTGGACTTGCCTTGACCCCGTCGTTTGAAGAACTAGGTGAGTGGTATTTTTAATAAAGCTATGTTATATGTTTTGATAAAGACTTTGCTTTGCTTTGTTTTGAAAGTGTTTGTTAAGCATGAATAATTGTCCTTGTTTGGTATACCAAGTATGACCTTGTCTTGATGACCTTCTTGGAAAGTCCCTTGTGCTGGAGGACTCTAAACTTTCGCAGCACATCTTGTTTTGAAAGTCCCTTGTGCTGGAGGACTCTAAACTTTCGCAACACCCTTGATTTGTACTCTAGCGTTAAAGGGCTACGGGCTTTTGTAACATAGGTCCCTTGTGCTGGAGGACTCTAAACTTTCGCAGCACATCTTGTCTTGAAAGTCCCTTGTGCTAGAGGACTCTAAACTTTTGTAGCACCCTTGGTTGAGATGCCTCTTTTGCTTTGTCTTGATTTGCCACGGACGGTTTACTGCGTGGACCTGTTGCCGAAATGTTGTCATTTGTGATATATGATGCTAGCAAGTATCCCTTGGAACTTTGAAGATTTGTTTGATGGGCGAGGTCCATTCCTTGTTATATATAGAGTTTGTCTTGTATTGTTTTGAAAGGATTTCGGCTATTATTCATGCAAACCCCTTTATTATTTATACCATTCACTGAGTATTCAAGCTCACCCTCTCTATATATATGTAGGTGATGAACAAGAAGGCGGTGACGCCTAGATGTGATTTCTGGAGCTTGTTTTGGGTCTTGATTATGTCGGCTTAACCTGCATTATGTCGGCAGTCTTGAAAATCATGCTTCTCGACTTGTAATATTTGTATTTCGAACACGTCGGCTGAGAAGCCTTTTTATCAAGATGTATGTTTTTGTATGATTGTTATGTCGGCAAAGAAGATGTCGGCAACCCGGCAGACTGTATTCTTAGCCCTGTAATTCGTACAATTTGTTTATGTCGGCTTGTGAAGCCCTTTGCTAATGTGAAAAACAACAAGGGGAAATTGTACTTTGCTTTGTTTGTAATTAAGTTATAATCCATATGTAAATGGTTGCTATCTCATTTGACTTATGCACAGCTCTTATGGACCACTTGTATTGTAAATTTTTCTTCCGCACTTGAGAGCCCCATGTATCTATACTCTGTATGTGTGTGAATTTTGTAGTGTGAATTTTGCAAGTTGGCCTTCGGTAATCTCGGATTACTGGCCATCACGGCACCAAACTACTAGGGGCGGTTTGGGGTCGTGACAGAGCGAAGCTCAATGAGTAATAATACAGTAAAGAGGTCTAAATGAATGAGCATAAGTTTCCCACAGTATTCATAATCACATTACGGAACGGCCTCGGGCCCAATATAATATGGAATGGCCTCAGGCCCACATATAACAGAACGACCTTAGGCCAATCATATAAAGAAAACGGCCTTGGGCCCAACATTTATCAGAACGGCCTCAGGCCCATATTTAATACAGAATGGCCTCGAGCCCAAACATATTAACAACTGTTCAGAACGACCTCAGGTCCAATCATATGATATCATATCATTAACAGAACGGCCTCGGGCCCAATCATGTAAACAAAACGGCCTTTGGCCTAATCATTTATATCAAACGGCCTTTAGCCCAATCATTTATATCAAACGGCCTTTAGCCTAATCCTTCATATCAAACGGCATTTGACCCAATCATTTATATTAAATGGCCTTTGGCCCAATCCTTTATATCAAACGGCCTTTAGCCCAATCCTTCATTTCCGTATTCATATTCTTGTGTGTATCATACTCATGATCAT